ACGACAAGAGTCAAGAGGAGTTGTGTGTATATGCCAGTAGAGATAGATGAAAATAAAACTATGAATGAACGCTTTAATTCATAACACTATTATTATTAATCGAAAAACTGGGTAATCCCACATTTTTGCTTTCGTGGTTATATCAAAACCATAACTAGTCAAGACTTTAAGATCCTTAAGAGCTTTCGAAAAACAAATGGATAACTACTAACTCCATTAGAGATTATATTGTATTTTGTTGTTTGGTCCGAAAAGTTAGCAAACATAGCGAATGAGTTGTGCTCTTTTCGAAATGTGTTTTAGAGGTTTGGACAAAATAAATTCTGGTGGTGAACATTGAGCTCAATTAAATATCGTCTCAATATTGATTTACCCCAAATAAATACACACCACTTAAGTGAGTTACAGAAAGAGTATTGGGATTGATAGTTAGGTAACTGTTGGGGACGATATATCCCAAAAACTCATAGTTTGTAATTTTATCTTTGTGGAGCTTGTATGCATGGGCATTCCTTACCACCCATGCACATAGTCGATTGATGAACTTATCGATTAAATGTTTAAAAGCTCCATGGAATATCGAGATATATTTGTAAATATACGTTTTAAAAATTGTGTTTGTGGGCTCGCTCGTTTTCTGGCTGTTTTGCAGAATATATTTTCCATACCAAGCTTGGACATCAATAGCTAGATTACTGGTCTTTGGTCACCGAGTCTTGTTCTCGTTCACAGATTAGGTGAACTCGTGAAGCTTCAAACCTAACAGTAACCAAGGATTTTCTGTTTATTTGGTGAGTGTCGACTACTTATCTGCTCCCCTGATGTGTTCATGGCAGACAGGTTAGGATTATTTGAGATGCTAAGATTAAAAACCTTGGAAATCACATTCTGAGTCATAGAATGCACTACCAAAGTCTGATAGTAAAACAGAACTTCACCCTGGCCTGACTGAGAAAAATTTAATCTCATGAATATGATTTTGAGTAAATTCATAGAGTTGAACGATCCTAATCCCAAAGTTAGGTACGTGCATGATTTGGAAAAGCTCAGAGAATATATCTGTAGCATCTTACCAGATAACTCTAAAGGAGTTCAGGTCAAAAAAGTTGATGATAATAATAGGTATGAGGACCAACAACAGTGTTGAGCCTCGACCATATAGACTCCTTAAGGTAATCATAGGGTCAGAGAAGCAACATGATCAGTTAAATATCGCTCGCAGTCACGACAATACCGAAATTTGAGTAAGACCTAATATGTCTCTTGAAGATGGAATAAAAAGAAAACGGCACTAGCTGGACTAGAAATCCGTCGGCAAAATGGTGAGGGAAATCTCCGATTAATGGGTTTTCGAGTAGTCAAGTCTTGGTAGCGAGTGCTGCCAAAGCCTCTGTGGATAGGTCTTTCTGCCTAGGAGTTTGGTATGCCAATGCTCGTCGTCTAGGAAATAAATTCTTTGAACTGGGAGTATTAGTGTACAAATTAAGACTACCCATTGTAGCTGTGACTGAAACTTGGTTAGTTTATGACTTCAGCATTACTCCAGAATCATCCGGATACCACTAACTAACAAGTGATAGGAAAGGAGGTGGCGCTTTTTTATACATAGCCAATAATTTAAATATCCAACCCTTAGCTTGCGAATTCCATGATAGTGAAGCTAGTGAACTCATTAACTGCGGGTACACTATCGGATGTTACACATTTATATTCGGCATCATCTATCGCAGCCTAATCTGCTTAGCTGATGACTTTATTTTAGAGAACATTCAGCGATCGACTGTAAATAGTAGATGCTTGACATTAGGAAACTTTAATGCATCTGATATTAGTTGGACTGAGATTGCCTCGGTAGGATCTATAAACTCCTTTGGTAGTAGGTTCCTGATAATGGTAATGGCGTATGCATTAGTACAGCATGTATCCAAAACCACATATTTTGCTGAAGGCCAGGGTTATTCTTTTTGGACTTAGTAATCAACCATGCGGCCACCGTAAATATTCCTTCTCTGTCAGTGCATAGCGATCACGCTGCTTTGTCACTCATGTTTAGAGCTAGTGACATGATATATGACTAGGTTAAGCCTCCACCATATGTATGTAGAGCTAACATATCAGCCATTTAGGAGTGCGCTGCGAAGACAGAATGGTCAATAGATACCAACTCCTTGGTTGAAGAAGCATGGTATATATATTTAAAGGCAAATTTTTTCAGTTACGTTCTTGTTTATACCATATCTCGTACCATGTAGACCGAATAACAGTCCACCATCGATAACTAAATAAGTCGAGAAACTTTTTAGACACGGGAAAAAGCTTTGGAATATATTCATCTCTACTGTCTTAGAACGATACACATCTAGTTATTGTAAGACCAGGAGTGCGTGTAAAGCGTTAATAGATAAGACCAAACGGTCATATGAAAAACAATTGTTTAAGGATTTTAAAAATAGTCCGAAACGGCTGTTCTCCTATATAAAAAGGCAAACTCAGAAAAGCGATGTAATTCTACCACTTTTGATATAAGAAACTCCACTAATATTGGCAAGAAATGATGTAAAAAAGCTGAAGTTTTATCGGAATATTTCAGTGAAGTGTAATCTGTCAGTAATGAAGAACGACCAACGATTCATTGTGATTGTGGCGGCTTGCTGATGGACCATGCAGTCATTGAGAAAGGTGCTGTCTTAAGACAACTGGAGCATCTTCAACTTGATAAGTCCAGTGGTCCTGATGATATTCATCATAGGATTATGAAAGCCCTATCAGATATAATTGCTGAACCTTAAGCGATACTGTTTGATATGTCAGTGCGGCAGTTCAGACTGTCCAGAGACTGGGAAGACGCGATAATTAGTCCGTTGTATAAGGCTGGGAGTAGAGATTCAGTTAGTAACTCTGGACCTGTTAGTCTGACCAGTGCAGTTGTCAAACTAATGGAAAAGTTTATTCCGATGGCTGTCTTAAGTTATGTGGAATTGCATAACCTTTGATCGAGAGAACAACATGGTTTTCGGAAAGGCCCAACATGTTTTACAAATCTGCTGATTGCAAGAGAAGATTGGGCTGATACAAAAGATCGAAATATTCCTGTAGATGTGATTTTTGTGGATCTAAGTAAAACCTTTCATAGGATCTCCCATTTGGATCGTAAACTGGAACTGGAAGGTTTTGGAATCCATTATAAGGTCACAGGCTGGATAAATCACTTTCCCCATGACAGGAGACAGAGGGTAAGGGTAAATGGAGCTTCCCCAGAGTGGGAACCTGTAAAAAGTGGAGTTCCCCAAGGTACAACCCTCAGTCCTCTTCTCTTTTTGCTTTATGTGAATGAATTACCGACTATAGCAAAGTCGTCCGTTCTAGTCTCTGCCGATGACATAAATATTTGCAGACTTATACACAGTATGTCAGATAGAATAGTATTACAGGATGGTCTCAAATGATTTGTGGCATGGATGGACGGCAGGTCACTAAAAGGGAATCCCAAAAGAGTATGGTGACGCAATCAAGTAGCTATGATGATTTGTATCACTACACAACATGTGGATTTGTATTGCCCAAAGTAAGAAACTATAATAATTCGGGAGCCAGACTAATCAGCGACCTCAAAACTACTAGTAACTATAAGGTTGCTGCTGCAAAAGACTGTAGGGTATTATAGGCCATTCGTATGTCTTTTCAGTATACGGATGAAGAAATTTTTGCTTTATTATACTCGCGTTTCGTGCAACCACATTTGGAAAATAGGACTCAAGCAGAGAGTCCTTATTTCAAATATGAAGCGGATATGCTGGATCAAATCTAACGACGAGAGACTAAAATGGTAAAAGGCTTTTCTGGCCTTATTTATGAAGACAGACTGAAACACCTGAACTTATTTCCTTCATCTTACCGAGAATACGGGGTGAAATAATGTTGGCTTATCATATACTGAATGATGATCTTGGTATTAATATGAATTAAATTCCCTTTCGTATAGGACTGATAGGGTTATTCTAAGAAAGTCCAAAAATCGAGGTCAAATCGTCTATGTTAGGAGTTTTCTTTATTGCGCGGAGTAGTGAATTACTGGAATCTTCGTTGAGACTATAATTTATGGACGAATCAATCAGATATGAGGTTAAAGTTCTCGGATTTCGGCGCGAAATTCACCCATCGATTTGGCTAAATAGAGTTTTGACATTATAGCTAATGTCAGTCTGTGATGAAAACCCTAAATGCAATTCCTAATCCCAACCATCAGCAGTAAATCATGAGTCTAATTTCTCACACTGGTTTATAACTCTCATTTGGTCCTAGTTATTAGGTGGACTCTATCAAGGTCACTTTAGCATCGCTGAAAAGTCATGATAAATCATAGTCTCATCAAATTCTCTACCAGAGCACGTAATATCAGCACCTTCTGCTGATCTATTCAAAATGAGATTAGACCTTCAGAGTGCTACAAACTGCAAGGATCAGTGTAAGTCCATAGACCTATCCTTATAGCTGAAGACAGAAGACTCGATTTTACTATAATGTTAGTTAGAAAATAACAAGAAACGTCTGGCTACTATAAATCAAGCTTGGCATCCAAATATGAACAGATGATGTCGAGGAATAATATTTTAGAATTCTTTGCTCAGTGACTCTCATCACATTAATTTACTGTTCATTAGGCTATCAGTGTAAGGACCTATTAACTATTATACATACGGTCCACAGTCAGGGGAAAATAACTACCCTTAAATGTTTTCTGTCATGAAGAACCCACATAAACTTTGTTCTATAGCTGAACTCGCTTCAGGTTGTTCCACTAACATTACCTTAATGTTCCCGCTACACATGTAACAGTATACACGGAAAGTAAAATCCTACCTGAAGATGTAAAAGGCAAATTTCCCATCGAAATCGGATTTGTCGGTAAAGGCAGTGAATAGCAACGACTTCAAATAATTACTGGATTTTATTAGTCACAACAGGAAATTACGTCATATTGTCGTTCAGCTTGGACTAAATATTAATGTAATTCGAGAACAGCTGAAAGATCGTAAGTACAGCCAGAATAAGTGCCACAGTGTTGCTGTTTCTTTCTGCACAAGAAATTGTACGTAAAAAACGACGAATTTATAAGTTTGACTGAATTAGTTTGAATGAAGTGTGTTTAAATCCATTCTAGTATCTTTGAGGGTTGCCATGTGAGCTATTGCGGGCTTTCGTTTTTCGACTGTGGTAGTCGTTTCGAATTACTGCTGGAGGTTTGTTTTTTCTGTCTATGACTGAACCGTTTATTTACAAAAAAATATTTATTAAAGACAGTCCATTTTTTCGTATGTGTGTTTCATGTCGTTTTATTGAATTTTTAGTTACGTTCATGGTAAAACAATCCTCTCAGTATTATATATTTATGACTTTCCCTTCAGCATACTGGGACATAAATGTGTTCTTCATTGATCGTATAAGGCGTAAATTTCTTCTAAATTTTAGATCCTCGTTCAACCTACTGGTTCTGGGGAAATCTTTATCAGTCTTGTGGAAATTTCTGTAAAGCTGCAATAGGAAATTTCGGGGAAATGCGACGAGTATCAAGATTTCCCCTGGTGTTGGTTTTCATACAGGATTTCAAGTTATTATTACTGAAACCTCAAAACTCTGTGTGAAACTTTTGGCCTTTCTCAATATTTCTCGAGACTTGACTAAAATCTACGAATTTTCATATGACTTTGGGGAAAAAACCTTAGTCTCTCTAAAATGCCTCAGGTTTTCATTAAAAGATGATGGATAGGTGCCCCCATATTTTTAAACTTTTCCTTTGGCTTGGCGACTTTAATACATGTCCATGGCTTTCTGTCTTAAGTATTTCGTTTGATACTCTTAAATGGTTAGAGCTATTCTAAACCGATCTGCTTGTCAATACCCTTATTTCATACCTCTCAGGCATGCATTAAGTTACAAATTGACGTTACTAGCAGGTGACTTGAATCCGCTTAATGCATGTAATATATAACTGCGTCATCAAGTCTTACACCGTGTATACTTTGGGTGTCTGCAGTGCTAATCAAACACCAAAAGGAGTACTAAGTTTACTCGTCGTTCTGTCCACAGCATTTCTGTGTCTGTACGGTATCGTTCATTCTTATCTAATTTATAGGCCTTAATTTTCATGTAACGTACTATCATACTTGAAATTTAGTAGCACTCCTGATAAACTTTTTTCCAATTAACATGGCATTTAAATATCTATTAGCAGTACTTAATATGATACATATAACTATGATAATTAGAAGTATTTGAATTATAGTAAAAACTAGGAATCCCAGAAATAAAGCAGGTGGATCAAGAAGTACTAGATAAGCCCGAACGAATGTACTGTATTTGGAATTCGAAATCAAGCATTTAGCAAGTACAAAGGAGTCGTTAGGTCATACAAACACCACAATAAAACTGAAGTGTGGATTGTTGCGACAGATTATTCTGCGATTGCTGGAAGTTTTATAATGCTCATTACCTGCCAGTTGTAGATATGGATTAATTTTTGTGGTGATAGAAAACTGCCACAAGCGCATTTATTTTTACATAGAACACAACTAACACGTAAACAATATACGTTTGATTCTTGAAGCTTTAGTATTACGTGGGTATTATGGTATTCAGTTTTATTTCTTTCCTTCCGAGTACATTGTAAATGCTTTTTTCAATAACTAAACTTACTCGATCATTGGTGAACGTGGTGCATCTTCCCTTGATGGCAAATCACTTCGTATGGATCAACTGGGGTTGGATTTAAGTCAATAGAATTCTTGCTCGCTATAGTCGCTGCTAGGATCAATCACATTTACACCTTAATGCATCCGTGTTCGTAGGTAGGCGGTTGCCAGCTTTGTTACAACCAACTTCTTAGCCTTATTTGCCGTGGTATATTAATTCACTCAGTGGCTGTTTTCTGTAATAAACTGATAATCAAACTGTCATACACATGTCCTAGGTCCTACTTTGTTTTTTTATCATTGGCCAACCATTTGCAAGTTCATTCGATATCACAAAATCATCCATTATGAGAAGAAACAACATCACTTGTCTTTGTGTAAATCAGTGTTAACCCTTGATGAGTGGTCCAGAGTTAAGTACCTAAGCTTCTGCTTCACGAGTAAGTGAAATTCGCTTTTCGTCCTCTCAATTTCGTAAACAACACTCCCGCCACGAGAAGGCAGTTAGTAGGACTTCCCTGGCAGAGGCTATATGCACGTGGCTATGTGAGAGCATTTTGAGAGGGTGAGCGGACTATCCCCACTCTCGGCCATATCAGGGCATTTGGGGGCAATTTAATCATCTTACTGAAGCTTAGTACATTCATTTTGCTTGAATATGTATATATCTATATTTTTTTATCAGTTAGAGCTAAAAAAGCAAATCCATCCTAATAGCTTACCTTTGGCGAACATTTATTATAGCTTCAAGTTGTAAGCCTATTTCATTCCTTATTGTATGTATAGTCCTAATACTGATATTGTGATAAAATTTTGGATGTTAGTGGTCATTACCCTCTCGAAATAATGGTTGGATTCGCCTTAGCTGATGGACTAGATGGAAATAGATTTCTGCAAAACACTAAGGTCAATTGCAAACAGTCTAACAATTTGAAGTAACAGACCGGAAACTAGGTTGTATAGTTTTCATAGAAATGTGTAAATATTATTTTGGGCTAAATACATTCAACAACTGTCGATTACCACCATGTACTGTCTGTGGAACTGTTTGCAGAACATCATACATAAATTTGAGATAGGATGGGGAGGCAATTGTATGTTCTAACTGACTGGGTTGTTTTCGCACAGATGCTTCTGAACCTATGCTTTAAAAATTGTTTTCTAACCAGCCTTATCTGGGAAATCAATAGCGGTCCTCATATCACGATTTAATTGTTGGCCCGAAATAAATACAGCAGTGTTCTAGGATTTTGGTCAGTATATTTACGAAAATGTCATTGTTTTCCTAATCAAACTGATATTTATGTTTTCTGTTAGTCCTGATTGATATGGGTTATACATGAAATTCTCTAATAGCATCCAAAAGTATATTTGTGACTCTTAATTACATTTCGAGAGAGTTCGTTCATCATCTTTCAACCATATAAACAAACAGTAGTTAACGTCGTGATGCAAAACAGCTATATACTTCTAATTGTTTAGATACACGACAACGCTGTGTAATATTGGTTTATGTATTTAGCGGTTAATCAAATTGTGTTGAGCTGCAGTTGAAATCAAATTTAGAAGAAAAGTACAGTCAGCGCTCACTACCGTCCGATGTGGTTTCGTTTTATTCGATGATCAGACCGTTGGAATATTCACGTTGGTCTAGGGTAGACAAATTGTGGATAGGTGGAAAATGAATGGTAAGAGAAGATAAAAAGCGTATAGTAGTGTCAGAAAAATGTAATTCATTTACTTATCAATTATCAAAGTCATAAAGCTAACGTTAAACCAACTTTCATAAATACTTAAAGTTCACTTTGTTAAACTATTTGTGATTGTCGTCGAGTGAATTATTGTACAGTTTCTATGTCAAAGTTTTGAATATTTGATGACAACAATTAAAGTACGAAGTACTTATAGATTTGGTGGCTAATTTATTCATTCTCTTGTGGATGCGAAATGTTTATACTTCTGCGTTGTATGCTGATATTTATATCATGGAATGCTAACTGCTACGGTTATGTATAGTATAAGTAGCCCAATACTTTTACTACCCATAAACGAAAATTCGTTGCGACAGTTAATCAACTATAGAAATATCAGAAAAGAGTTTTTTTGGGTGGGTAGTAAGTAGTAATGTTTTACACACTCGACGTATATAACTTTTCTCCCCACTTTTTTCTTACTCTAGATCATGGCATCTGCGAAACAGGATATTGCTACGTATAATGTAACTTATTTATTACGTCAGTGGGATTGTTCATCTGAAGAAAAACGTCGTCAGCTTCTTGACGATTTCATTAAACAATACTATGATTGTACTGGACCTGATTTAGAATCAGAATTCGCCCAAATGGCTAGTTTGTTTTTGGCTAGAATATGCGTATGGATAAAATTAACGTAAGTCATGTTCATGGTATTGACTTGTTTGTGTATGGATATCGTCCAGGCGTTTAATTGTGTTGATTGGATGATTTGTGTTTAATTATTATTTATTTCGTACGTATATGTACAGTTATTAACAATTTCGTTTCATATATGATATGTGGTTCGTTTTATTTTTGTTGCTTTATCTGTTATCTTGCGGGACTTTTGTAAAAGAATATGATTTACAACTGTTTGAGTTTAAGCAGTTTAAGCTTCATGAGTAACTTACCAAGCATAAATTCTTGTACCCAGCTTTAAGTCATACTTTAAGCAGATGGACTACTAATACTCTACCCGATGACCTAAGCTAAAGTAAACGGTGGGGGTGGAATTTGAACTTGTGATCTAGTAACTTGAAGTTAAATACACTATAACCAATAAGCCACCGCCTGTTCAATTATTTTCCGGAGTATTGTAAGTCGTAAATATCATGAAAATTTTAGTTTGGTCACAGACAGTAATGTAAATATGGACATGTTTTTCCTATATATATATTTCACTACTTTATTCAAAACTGTCAGATTAGCTAGTTTATAGGTTTTTTTCGATTCGAATGTGCCAGAATCATATTAAACTGCCAGAGGATGTCAAGAAGTAGCCTTCATTTCTTTGTCCATTTTTGTACTCGAAGAAAATTTTTAATTATCAGCTAAGTTAAATAGGACGTATCTAAAGTTCTGTAGACTAAAATCTTAAATTTTCAGTGTTTTCCAGTGTTTTTTCAGGTTTAAGTCACTACTTCAAGTAATTATCTGTGAAAATAAACAACTTTCAGTACTAAAAAGTATCTTGATTAGTTTGTGTCATACCTGTCATGGTATTCGTAAGTAGGAATAATTGTCCAAATTAATACTTGGTTTATGGTCTTGTAAGAATATATTCCACGATTTTCTTTAAATCATACTTTTGAATAATGTTTTGATGAGCATTGACCTAGTAATCAAAGTATTTAATCGTCCGGTCCCAGGTGCTTATCGTGTTTCTCTTATTTCAGTTTGAACATCTGAGTAGCGTTTTTACCCCATGCACATAGATCAGTTTGTGACCCGATGTACTACACACTAATTTAGACAAAAAATCAAATCTGTAATGTTTTTAAATTTTTTCGTGTATTTTAGTTACATGTCAGGAACTTGTCTAACAGAACAGCTTCAAGCCCTTCATATATTTTTATCAGCTTCAAACAGGTAAACTAATGTAAAACTTCCTTTCTATCAATAGAAAGATTTTGATTTACAAGTTTATCATAATTTGTTCTATCTTAGTTCCGATTTTGTATCCTTAAAACTGATCTAATTTAAAAGAATTTGTAGCTGATATAAAGGAAGTTTAAGAAACTGGGGGATGAACAAAGTAGGATTTCCGTATTCTGGCCAGTATCCTGGTAACTATTATGATTATTGATAAGTTCTTCAAAGTTGTTAACCAATCAGATCATCGGTCCATCACTATATACATACTTTATTTGTGTAGTTTTGTACTCATGGTAGTCATGCTCCTGTAAATAGAAACTTTATTTCTAATAGTCTATGTAAGACTTTTGTTATAAGGTTTTTTGGAATACTGTACAACTAGTTATAGTAACTTATCATTTCACGTTCTAACATTTAGAGCACAACTAAGATCGAATGTATCGGTATTATGGGTGTTATTGTATGGTTAGATTACTTAGTTTCCTCAATTATTCCAATGGTTTTTCAATCTTAAGCCAGTAATTCTACAACTGGCTATCACATGAGTTCATCCTTAGGTTAATTTAGGCTCACACGACGTTAGACAATTTCTTTATTGACTAATTGGTTAGTTTCATCTAAAAATGATATCGTTTTGTGTCCAAAAAGTTTATTAATTTTCGACTTATTAAGTAGTGTGATGCGGACAAATGAAGGTCAGTCTTTTTTATTCTATTGGTTGGGGACTATATTTCGACAGCCTGATGGCGTTTCGTGTATCAGATTTTATCTTTCCTGTGTTTAATGATACTAATTGTCGGTTGTCAAAGTAAATTGGTTGGTAGAGTTAGTGAGTTGTTATACTTGGCTTTCATTACCATTTCGTAATAGATCCGTTACAAACATAATCCAATTTTATTTCAGACGGATGCGACAATTTTTTTATTGTATCTCGATCCCAGACCACCAGATTCCCCACGTTTCTTTATAGTTTGAGCGTGTAATTCTAGTTATATCAGTGTATTGGGATTTGTGACTGCATTTTATGTCGTTTTTCTCATAACCTGTGCCCAGGTAGTGCAGTCTATAGTTGCAGATGTAGGTATTATTGCTTGTTTATATGAAAGTTAACATCTACCTCGTCGTATGTACAAAATGCATATAAATACGTCGTTTGTTAGAACCTGGCAAATTTTAAAATTGACTGATTTATTTATACTCCCTCTCTAAGAGGTACCTTTATTTATTAAATTCACTGTCTGATACGTAGGAAAAGTACGAGGCGTCATAGAATAGCAGTACACGATTAAGGAAAGGAGTAGTGGTCTGAACATGAGTTTGTAAGCACAAATCAAGCGATGGATAAAATAAAAAGCCTGTACCAGCTCAACAAAACAATGTTTTATACAAACAATTGTATAAATATTCAGTGATCATGGAAAATGAATTAAACTATCAGTCAGTCAGCTACAATGTAGGACCAGACACATATATGTATCGGTACAAGTTGCCATACCTCATTAGCACAGCAAGATGAACACTGAATTCATAGTAGTTAATTCAACGGTGGTAATATATGAATGAAAGTCTGCATATAAGGATATAGTACAGGAAGAAAGAATTAGTTTATAGAAAGAAAGATATGAAGCGATTTTAGTCTCATAGTTTAAGGGAAGACAGAGATTGTATAGACCTACGCCATTGTGATCGATTCTGAGCCTATAATATACTAAAAGTACAAATTGTTAGGAATTATCAATGGAAATGGAAAAGAAATAAATCTACGCGGTTTGTGTAATTTACTTATTTTATTCGTATTTAAACTCCTGATTCTACGATAACCCAGTTTATTGGTTTAATATAAGCTTGTGGACCCAAATGGCTCTATAGGATTCAGTGTCTATATTTGACTTAATAACTACTTTATAAGGTAAAAATCCATGTACTTGTCTTTGAACCAAGGGTTACTGGTACTCTCTGACTGTCCAGATTGAAATAGGTGTACTAGGGTTCAAACCCATTACTTGAAGGCTGAAGATCCGACTCCTCAACTAATGAATCACTTCTTTAGTGCGCTTACTTAAATTATTACTATGGCTTAACTTGAATAACTTTAGATTTCTTTAACTCCAATTCTTCACCAACCAGCGTCGATCATAGGACTAGATGTTGACTTAAAATTTAGAGTGCATTTTCAGCCATTTCAGTTAATGTAAGTCCTCATTTTCACAGACTGACTTTCCTTCCTTTTTTTGATACTCTGCACACTACCTAGGCAGTATTCATTTGTTGTTAAAAGAAATGGTTCATATATTGTCAGCTACAACGAGTTGTTACAAGTATTAGCTTTAAGACGTCTAGGTTGATAATGATCAGTAGGCTTACTTGACGAAAAAAACACGACTTTAAAATATTAACCAAGGGTTCTATATGGATAGATAGTTGGTTAGTTAATTTGCAATTCTTGTTATATTTGAAAATTTTAGGCAGGCTAATCTAAACAATCACAGAAAATTTGTTCAGTTTGGGATAGATTTAGAGGTTTATGCAGAAGGGCAACAGTTTTATTTAATTTCTACGGACTGATATTGCAAGTTATGCACAATAGTACTAAATTTTCGAATCGATCCTCCCTTGATAATATTTATTAGTGTGCAGTAAGCAATTTGAATGTAATCCATGTTTACAGTTAGTGTTATATCTCACTGAGTCTTTTAGCTCAACATGTCGATTATCAATAATCTTTACATTTCTACATCTTTTAGAATAAATTTTGGACTGCCGTTATCTAAGTAAAATTTATACCACCAAAGAGTGTTTTATTAACACAGTCACAGTTTGCGATATCGCAACACTACACACTTTCCCTGATAATATCCAGTTCTGGATTAGGTTTGGCGAAAAAAATGTATATTTCTTACGCTCTTCATCGCTTACATTTTGTCTATAATATCTAGAAGTTTTAGGCTACATACCCTGTAAAAAAATCTACCATAAGCTAGTTTGTTCATCCAATTAATGACGTTTCATATGTATATCTATTCACAAATCACATAAATCCCCTCAACTCAAAGGAAACAATCAATTTGTATTTTATCCTTTGTGTTCTTGATATTTTCCCTATCTACCTAACCACCCATCAACTTCTTCGCTAAAAGCTATAGTTATTTACTAGAGTTTTTGGAGCATGGTGGTGTATTGTGTTTACAGGAAGTATGCATTTCATCAAGTGCAAAAGAAGTGGATAAACGTTGGGCGCTTAAAGTATTATCTTGCGTTGCCAATGGTGGTACACATTATAAGGAGACAATTTGTGAATGTTATGGTAAATAATTGCTTTTTCCCTTTCTATTTATCATTATAAACGTTAGTTTGTCTCTTGTTATCTTACTTAATTTTCCTTTACTTTATGTTTTATTTTGTCGCTCTCCCTTAAGTTCTCTTTTTTTGGTTATTTTGCATTATATTCCTTGTTTGGCTATGTAGTTTTCGTTTGTATACGTCTTAGATCCTTCAAATAGTAGGTTCATGAAGTTTATATCATTTGTATAGTTCCCCCTTGTCTCTACTACTTTTCCTGTTAATACTACAACTACTAGTGTTATTTAGTTATATTTTTTCTTCTCTCATCTCCTTAACCATTTTTCCTTTATTTAGTGTTTAATTGAATTTATTACTGATAATAAAATTGGGAAATAAGTTTCTTTTCTATACTTGAAATGAAAACAAAGATGATAATAATAATAATATATGTGTATTATCTGTTTAAAAAAACAATTACTTCATTGATTGACAAATGTTAATTGAATTTGAGCAGTTTTTCATTATGAAGTAAAAGAAACATCAGAGAGAGAAAGAGAAAGGGAGAAAAAAAGCACAAGATATGACCACTTATGATAGATAATGTTTGATTAATCAATCTGTGTTAAGACTGTTCGATTCACATTTCCAGTTAATAAATAATAATAAAAATCATAATGTGATACTATTCTGTTGTGCCTTCATTGGTAAATAAATTTAGTTATTAAGGTATATTGGTCAAATAAAAGAGAATCTTTTCATAATTAAATGATATGTGTAGTATAACATTGTGGAATAATATTTCTGTCAAAATTATTCATAGATGTACATTAAGCTACTCTGATAACCAACGTAGAACTATTGAGTTAAAAATAATTGTTTGATGTTAATATCTTTATAATTCAAATTTTTTAATCATTGACATATTTTATAATATCATAAATAATTTCTTAAATTTGTAGTGATGTTTACCGATTAGTATAAATAATATAGATCACCTGTGCAATTCGATTAAAACAATTTCTAGGCATTCGTGCTGTTGCTGAATGTATGGCCAAGTCAAAGTCAGAGGAAACACAAGAGTCTGCTAGAGATTTATTAGAAATATTAGCTGAAGGCAATCCTCGTTTCTCTGATCAAGTTTACAAAGGATTAATTGGCGTTTTACCATGTAATTCACCAAAAGCTCAACAATTAGCACTTCAAAGTATACGAATTTTACAGGTATATTATAACATTTCAAATAAGTTTCGCAAATTCACTCTGCTTTTGGCCATTCGGAGAAGTGTGGGGGGATTTCAGACCTTTATCGACTAACCAATATCTTTCGATCTTAAATAATCAGTAGCATCATTAATCCTTGTATTGTGAATGCACGTCATCATTATTTTCACCTTTTGATTTGAGTGAATTCTAGGCTATTATGAATTCAGATAAATGTGGTCGTTTAGTTAATTACTACTAAGTATTCGCACTATATATATATATATATATATATATATATATTTCCGTCCGTAAGGTTATTTGAAGATAAATCATCAAGTAGTCAGATATTATTAATCAGAGCTCGAAGATTGATAAGATTGCGTTATAGTTATAGAATATAAGTTTCAACGACTGGGTGAGTGAAATGCAATTTGGCTAATGAAGATTAGATGACATATTACAAACGACATGATAGTAATAGTAGTGTTGTAAACGAACATTCAAGTGGGGTAAAACAACTTATCATGTAATACAAAATTGCAGAATTCCTTCGTAAAATTAAAGAATCATACATTAAACGCATCATTTGCAAATCTTCCAATTGTCCTTCACATCCTGTATGATTCTTCCAATTCACAATTCCTTTTTGCTTACATTCCCGTTTGTTTTTCTATTCGGTCTTCTCAGCATTCTGCTTTCATGCATTCATCATCCGTTTGATGTTACATACTACTTATGTCTGTTGACATACACCACAGTAGTAATAAATAGAGATCAATCACAAAATATATTCTGTATGGGTGTTGTGGATATTGTTGAGTTTTGTTATGATAAGAAACCAATAAAAGTTAGCACTAGTTTAGATTGGTTTCCAACCTCAACAAGATGTATCATTTTATCATGCTAGTAATAAATTAAAAACTATCCCTTTCTAAACGCATATGTTTAGTTGATATTTTGTTGATAATTAATAGTTCAACAAAGCGTAATGGAGATCTTTGAAGCATACATGTACTTTACTCCTTGTTCATTCGATGTATATGCTTTAGTACTTTTATGTAAAATGATAAAACTCATGCAGACTGTTCAAGTGTTCTGTAATTATTACACAGTCCATCTTATCAGTTTTGAATTCTAGCTTATAGCTTAAAGTCAGTTTCATTTATAAAATGATAGGTTATCATGGAACCAGTTTTGCTTTCTAGATAAAAATACTCATTAAGAGTTTAATGTCAAATAGAAAAAACGTATATTAATACTGTAGTTTTAAGTTGTCATTTTTTTCACATCTACACAGTAAAGAAAAACCAATAACAAGTCATATGATGAAATAATGTTGCTAGTAGTGAAAAACCAAATATAAGAAGAAAAACGGGATAAATTAAACAATGAACAGACGAAATAACATATTCCAAGTTTATAAGGGTAAAAACTAAATACTTTGGCACTAGTGCGATCGATTTACAGTCATGTCACTTGAAGTTATGAGTTATCATCCATTATAACTCTTTTATTGATTACAACCGTAAAGTCTGCATCTATCTACCTATATTTCCCAAATTAGAAGTTGATGACTTCGCGGATCGAAGTCATATCTCTGTCTAGCTACCCTTTAGACTTATTCTAACCCTTTCTCTTACTAGACAGTATGGCGAATCGAGATTGGTTTTTGTACATTTGTAATATTGTTCTTAACTATCTCATTCCATGTTGATTTATAGCTTTATCTACTAATTTATCACATCTACATAAAAAGACTAACAACTGTCTGTTCATAAATACATTAGTTGAAAACATAAAACTCAAATTTTTCACTAAAGTCGTCTGACATACTGAATAACATTTTCTTGGGTTATCTCCAGTTATTGTTCATCAACTAAACCATTCGAAATACTAATACTCCCTAAGAAAATTTATTGTGAAGTTTAGTAGAAATGCAAATTATCAGTAAATTTTCTCCACATAATTCGTTAAAATGGTGTTAGTTACTGTTTTCTCGGAAAACTTGATTTGAATAAATGAGATTTAATAATACTACTACCACAAATTATCTAAGTTGACTAGTCACTTTTTGATTTCAGATGTAGTTGTAGCTTTGTTTGCCTTTAATTAACAAGTTGATAAATATTCAGTCAACACAATTGGTTATTTGCATAAAATCAGTTTTGATTATAAATCTTACGAGTCGTTATCATTTCTGATGTGCTAATAATCAACAGATCTCTGTTTTTATCTTAGTTGAAAACCGATTGTTAGTCATTCATACAATATCTACAAAATTGGTCAAAATTCACTAGTTTATGTGAAAGTGAAATTTTTTTGAATCTCATGAATAACTTTCATATTTACATAGCTTACTAAAAGTGCTACTCACAGCCTGAAATTCCAAGTGAAAAGTAAATAAACTCGGACTTAACTGGTCTTAAATTGATTTCTTTATTGTTCCACCATCCGTTTTAAAGTAATTTGGATCACTACAGTGTTAGATAATATGTTTTCATTACTACGCTCCGAAATGCCCCGGTACGGCCGAGGATGGGAAAAAGTCTGCTCCGGTCTGGGCACGCGGGCAGTACCCCAGCCTTCACACAAATCGAATGATTTATGTGGCGCATATGTATTCAGTGTCCCTTTGTACCAATATTTGTGTTCAGATAAACAAATAATAAATTTCATTACTACACTAATTCTAAAATTGTGAACACGAAGCAGTAGGGTAATCGTTCATGTAATTGTGAGTATTAGTATGAATTGGAAGAGAAATAGGCTAAACAAAAAGTGTTATTTAATGAAATAAATAATATCTTTGTGATTTCTCTTAAACACACGCAAAGAGTTGCTCACATATCCCTTCTCTTTGTTACAATATTCATTTTTCAACAAATTTATGAGACTTTTTGATTAACATGCCAAAAAATGTTAATTACCCTGTGTCAGCTGATAAAACATACTTTAGAATATTAAAGCTTGGGGACAAAAAGACAGCACTAAACGTTTTTACCTGTTAATATAATATTGCATAATTATTCAATTAATTATTTCAGGTCAGTGTTTCGCATTTATTTTGTTCATAATTGGATACATATATAGCGATAACCACTCACGTAACTTATTCAAAAACATTTTACAAAAAGAATTGTATTTCCATATTTACTAATGCAGTTGATTCTATGCTCTATCAATATACTGTTATTTAGTTTTGTCATTATTCTCTATGATATCGAGTGCATGGATATATATATATATATATTGGCTGGAACATATGTTCCTATAGGTTCTAGCATGCCATTCAGGTCGATTGGAGAACGGTAAGATTAAAAGCAGCAACTCAAGGTCTGTGGGCTAAGTCTTACTGATGACTGTAGAGGGGTGTGACAGCAGTAAGGTGTTTCCCTCCGACAACCAGCATCTGCAGCGATGCTTCCTTCTTACAAGGAAGGTCGGGCTTAGAAAAGATCGACCCTCAAAATGTCACACCTCACCTTACCTTACGGATCTTCGTCTCCGGTGGTAAGGTCTTTTGAAGAACGGAGCTAACACGTTAAAAACCTCCCACAAAAAGGCCGTGCGCGACCGGCCTCAAGCAGTTGTCCCTTGGGCTTTGCGGTCACGCTCTCAGGTCGTTAAGACTAACACTAATCCAACTTCCTTTTCAGGTTCCTTAAGAAATACCCTTCCACGGTGTGGACAGCCGGGAAGTGATATCAGCCCTAATACCCGTAACAGCACACGAGACCAAGTTGGTCACATTCAAATCCTTCCTACACCTCCTAATAGCTCTCTTATCTCCACGACTAACCCTTCTCACGTCCCTTTAACACCCCGCGCCTCAAGTGCGAACGATTCAAGTACATGGAACGTTATTCCTGGTCTCCTGAAACCAAGCTCTAAACTACATGTAGGAACCTTTGACGTCTGAACATTGTGCCAAATAGGACAACAGGCTTCCTAGCTAGAACTTTAGAGTCTCGCGCCATCGAGGTGTACTGCGTCTCCAGATCCACGAAATTTCTATTATTTAGGGAAGGATAAAGAATAAATGCATATCCATCGTTGTGATAAACTTTGTGTTATGAGGTCTGTTATTTTTAACCAATTTACTCTACAATCTCAGGGACCTTATTCAAGAAAACATGCATGCTTATTGATCTGGGTGGTATGTAATTATTTTTTGATTAGTTGAAACTTATAAATATGGTAGCAATGTTGTGTAACTTTTTCCTCTTTGACTTTGTAAGATGCTTCATAACAGAATTCATTCATTATACTAATGCGCCTATATCACCATAGGTTATCTCATCCACTAATAACTTCGCATAAACTAGAGCTTTGATTTCCGAATATCAATGATGCTTGTTTAAATAATTTATCTTAACCGAAGAATCTTGATGTGAATAAACTAAACTTTGCATTTTTATTTATCAGTTATCAGCTCATTTTCTGTCAATGTATTCATGATTTTAATGTTTACTTCACTAACAGTAGTATTATCGATATATATTCTAAAAATTGATCTGGAAGGGCTTTTTTCTAAACACAAGAACATTATATGATTCATTCACTATTAACAATCATTATATTTTGTAAATTAGCTTTGTTATTAAACAATAAATTCATTATTAATAATAATATTATTATTTAGGCAAAGCGTAATACTGCCAATAGGGCCTTAATCGACAGAATAATCTACTTACTGGAGTCATTGCATTTGGAAGTCCAATCAGCAGGTACGTTATCTGTTATGGCTTTCATGTATATTCTAATTGATTCAAGGGATTTTATATAAGAACCATTACATACAGTTTAGATTATATATATACAACGAATAAATGAGTTTAGTTTCTACTTTTTATATCATAGATTATGTGAAATGGTTTTGAAACCTTGCATTAACAAGTAACTTAAACAAATTGATCCGACTAACTGTAAAATCGTAATTTGATATAACTCAACAACTTGATACACATTTTCATATTGGGTTATGTACTATTCTTATTGTTATCATTGTTGTTTTGTGTATGAGTTTTCCAGATTTCAGTGGATGAATGATGTTTCATTGGTTAAAATTCGATTCCACTGGAGCACTAAATTATTATCTCTCAGTGGATTGTGTCAGTTTAAGTTGATATATTTTTCAAGGCTGTCCTTGTGTTGTAAATATCTCTGAAATATCCCTCAATTTTTCCTTAGCACCGGGATTTCAAGTTCAATCAAATGAACTGACTAAAACTGTCTACAATATATAACAGTTCAGGTTATATATAGCTTTGTCTAGCATATATGTTAGAGCTAAGTATAGAATTTATTTGCTATTTCAAATGCCATAATACATCTGGTTTGTCATAAATCCATTTTTTCCTTTTATAGTTCATATGTAACTTTATTTTTCTGTCAAGTATGTAGCGCATGTATTAGTTTTTAAAGTATTTTTTAAAATAAAGTTGTTTTCAGTAAAAGTCTGTTCAATTTCATGGTATCTGATGTCTTGATTTCTGTCTTTAACTTCGTTCCTTACGGAAATGTTTATTTATCTTAGAGGTTTTTCAAGTATGTATCTGCGTAAATTAATTAATTAATTATAGTGCATTTTCTAGACTGTATGACGTAAATAGAAATATCACTGAATGTCTATCCTAACATTATTCTTTTTAAGATCTGCTTTAAGACGCATTAATACATCCATTTTTGTTTCGGTATATTTTCTCCATAATGTATATATAATATGCATAGAATTTACTATATCGTCTCCCTGTTCTCGAATGCTGATATCTTATACAGATGAATAGAAATATTGGTTAGCGTTCTTTAACGAGTTAGTTTTTTATTAGTTTTCTCTTCAATAAGATTTGGGATGAAGAACAAGTACCAACAGACTGGAAAGAAGGACTTCTGGTCAAAATACCAAAGAAAGGCGATCTCAGCAGCTGTGACAACTACATGGGCATCACTGTTCTCTCAATACCAGGAAAAGTCTTCAACAGGGTATTGTTAAACAGAATGAAGGACTCCATAGACGCCCAACTTCGAGACCAACAGGCAGGATTCCGTAAGGATAGATCGTGTACAGACCAAATCACAACTCTACGGATCATTGTGGAACAATCAATTGAACGGAATTCATCACTCTACATCAACTTCATGACTACGAAAAGGCATTTGATAGCGTGGACAGAACAACACTATGGAAACTTCTTCGACACTACGGCGTGCCTCAGAAGATAGTCAATATCATACAGAATTGCTATGATGGATTAAACTGCAAACTCGTGCATGGGGGACAATTGACAGACTCGTTCGAGGTAAAGACCGGTGTCAGGCAAGGTTGCCTACTCTCACCCTTTCTCTTTCTCCTGGTAATCGACTGGATCATGGATTCCTGAATGCCAAAGGAGGAGGAGAGGAAGACCAAAGAACACATTACGTCGAGAAATGGAGACAGACATGAGAAGAATGAACAACAATTGGATCGAACTATAGAATGCTGGTCGGCGACCTATGCTGCATTAGGAGTAACAGGCGTAAGTAAGTAAGAAGTTTCGAGGAATACTGGATATTGAACTAACTCCCATAACATTTTAAAATAGTTGTTTCTGAGAGGAAAACAACCCCCTACTTTGTCCCATGCATTCTCATCAAATTAAATTGCTACAGATTCAGTTTTTTTATTTTCATTGAGTCATACAGTCTGAGACAAATACGCATTGATGAGCAAAGGTTATGTAAAACTAAAAAAATACAGTTTTGCTAATGTTGAACAATGTTTTCGTCTAAATTCTATAACTAAAAATCCCGTATTGACCTAACTCTCAACACGATATACTAGGTAAACTAGAAACGAAGCATAAGCAAATTCATCTTGGAGTCTTCTACGTTTACTGTTACTACTCACCTCAGTTTGTGAACTTCAATATTTTTCAAGACGTTTAGGAAACTATAGTACTTGAATATTGGTTAGAAAGACACTGGATGATTTTGAATATATAGTGCTCTAGAACAACATATATCAGCGAACAATATTGTTTTCGATTAAGTCCTCATCAGGCTTTACTCTAATATACAGTAATATTCACGTGCATACGCGAAATTATTAAACCAATCAAGGCAGTTTATGGTTGAATTTATTATTATTATTGTTATTATTATTATTTTCCGTACTCTTTTTTCGTTTATTTTTCTTCACCCCCTCCCACCCTTTTCTTTTCTCAAATATACGCTTCACGGTCCGATTATCTTAACACTTCTTATTACGTAATCTTATAGTTTTACGAACATTATTTCAGTGTCTATAATTTTCTAATGATTGACCTATTTCCCATTATGAAACATTGATTCAAGCCTTTATTATCCTTATCACAACTAACACACCTGTCGTCACACTACCAACTTGTACTTTTCACTTATTATGTTTATTTATGTAGTCTTCTCCACTGTTATCATTGACTCATAAACTACCTTGATTGGTTTAATAATTTCATGTATGCATATAAATGTTACTGTATATTAGAGTAAAGCCTGATGAGAACTTAATCGAAAACAATATTGTTCGCTGATATATGTTCTTCTAAATCAAAATATGGGAATTTTTCAAATACTGTACTCTGACTAAAAAGTTGTACCAAATCTGTTTTTTTACCTTCTTTCCATTTTCGTCTATATGTATTAGTTATTGAATTACTTCGTGTTCTGATGGGATTCGATATTGCTGATGATATATTAATGGCTTTAATTACATTGTTAAAACCTCAGCATGAAATACAGCTGGGCAAATTATTCACTGAAGCAACATCAGATGATAACGATGATGAAATAAGTTCATCTCATATGGACAGTAATGAGGAAAGTTATCGTAAGTGTAATTAAATAATTTCATCGTAAAAATAAAATTTCTTTCATATTCTATTTTTGATTGTACATAATAATAAAGTTGATTTATGTCCTATACATACACTAAAGCAGTAATTTCAGTGGTCTTGAGGGCGGTTATCACTTCCCGGTTGCCAACACTGTGGAAGGGTCCTTCTGGAGGTACCTGAAAAGGAAATTGGCTTAGAGGTGGTCCTAGTGACCTAGGAGCGTGACCGCAGTGCCCTAAAGACAACTGCTTGGGGTCGGTCACACACACGACCTTTTATGGGTAGTTTTTGTGTTAGCTCCGTACTTGTTGAGACCTTGCCGCCGGAGACGGATATCCGTGGGATAAGGTGAGGTGTGCACTTTTAGGGTCAACCTTTTCTAACCCCACCCCTCCTTGTGGGAAGGCAGCGTCGCTGTCATGCTGGTTGTCTTAAGGAAACACCTTACTGCTGTCGTACCTCTGTACATTCAGCAGTATGACTTCGCCTTCGGACCTTGGGTTTGTTGCTTTTAGTCTTACCGCTCTTCAACCGACCTGTCTGACATGGTAGGACCTTGAGGAACGGTTTTTCCAGCCAGTATAGCTCGGTTGCTTCGTCACGATAGGCAAGCCCGACCACCACGTCAAAGTAGCAACAACGGTCGGGAAGCAGTAATTTAAGTATGTAAGTAGTAGTTAGGACAAAGGTGAATGTGGTTGAAAGATAACTTTTGGTTTATCTTATTGTTATGTTTCCAAATGATTGTCTACAGAAGTTCGGTAGGCTATATTAAATTGTCTACATAATTTTTGATATTAAAAATGGTGTAAAATACTCTAATGACATTTTACAATGTCAAGTTGGAATTAATTCCAATATAATCACAATTAATATGAGTCAGCTGTAAAAATAATCATTTTATATTGATAATATCTATCTTCTCCAACCTTATTATTCATATCTTCATATCATGAACTGTTATCTAACTTCATATTCGATCATAAGATGAAACATTATAGAGTCGGGTGTATATTCCATCAACTTACCACACTTCTAACATAATACAATAAAATAAGAAAATCGATAATCAGTGAATGTTTAGTTGGTACGGAAAAAAAAGAGTGACCAAGAAGCAAGTATATGTTGATTGTAGTAAATTCAGGGTTTTTGTAAGCATATAAATTACTTGAAATTTGTATTGATGACCATGTCAAGTAGTGTGTACATCAGGAATAAGTACTCTTAATTGTCTGAAAAATCTGTCTCGGTTTATCCCTGACTCTTAGTTTGTCATATATTAGAAACATCTATACAATACTTAGACTTATAATTACTAAACACTGTATACTATTTTTTTAATATTACTTTGTCATCATATCTTTTTTCCAGCTTCTCATCCTATCCCGTTAGATAGTCGTAATATTAGTGGCATACCACAAATGAAACCTCTATCTATGAGCAATACAAAGTCAACTAAATTAAATGTCAAATACCCTAGCATTTGTGCTAACGGTAACAGCGGTAAAACAGAAAAAACGATGAAAAAGAATCATAGACATCAAAATCAGGGGTCAGATTCAGAATTCGATGGTAATCAACCATTATCGGTGTTTGTTCAACAAGCAGCTGCAGCTAAATGTCTACGGTAGGCAATATTCAATAACTGTTTATCTACTTGTTCTTGCATATTTTGGCTACTAATACAAACTGGTTCGTGTAGTCTTTTTAGTACCCCGGAGTTAGTGAACTCTGTCCATGAGCTCACGCGGGCGGTGAAGTAGAGACCGGTTTTACCACCCGCTCTATCACAGATGGAGATCAAATTAATCATCCACTCTGTTTTAAAATCTGATTAGTAGGAAGGGGCAGTTAACTTTGTATTGATGTGTGTGAGGTGTAGTGCTGGAGAAAAAATTCCTTTCGGTGCCTGATTGGATTCGTTTTGGAAAGGCTCATTAGGTCTGTCAGGAGTGGGACAGAGCGAAGACTATAGACTGTGCTGTAATTAGCGCGTAGGGGTCGACACCAAACTTGCTTGCGATATGAGCGTGATGAAAGCACGTCGTCAGTGATGACTTGTATCCGAATTGATTTGGTTGTTTGTTATCCATTAAACTTTAGGTAACCACTGGGCTATGGCTTGGTGAGTATACTTTGGAGTGTATAGACCTTGATCTATGCACTCTATATGTGCATGTAAGGTATACTTGTGAGCGATAACCTCTATACCTATGTGTGTGTCATGGAATGTGTAGATCTCGGTCCATGTGTTCTACATATACATTTAACTTATACTTGTGACTGCGCGCATCAATGCTCATTGCGTACTGAAGAATGCATGTTTTTAGTGCGCACATTCTAAGTAAATATACAAGACATACTTGCGACAGTTCCACGTCCCATACTGATATATTAATTGTATCTCTAAACGCACTTTAGGTGTTAGCAAGTTTCTTAAAGTAATAGGAAAGTGTGGACTGTAACAACCGTCTTCACTACAGATATCGATTTCCTCTACTGGCATATAAAACGCAGCAGAGTGAACTGTTAATGCATCTGTTTGCTTTGCTTTCTCCAGTGGTTCGATCTCGCACACTTTTCTTTGAAATGTCTCTTCTTTTTTTCTGAAAGGCCTACGAGCTTCTACTTTTCTGGGCGGGAATACTACTACTACTACTACTACTACTACTACTACTACTACTACAGTGATTTAATCCATATCAAATCTTTTATATTTCAGCCTAATGGCCTAAATAAGTAGAATAACCAATTTACTATTGTAACGGATACAATGATTGAGAATTATTTCATTCTTAATTTTTAAGTCTTTTTTTGTGAAACAAACAACAACTATTACTTTATTATTCGATTAACTCCTGACATTTTGGAAATACTTCGCTGAAGTTTCATCTGTCTAACCTGCATCAATACCTGAACTAAGCATAGGGAGTGAAGTAGTCAAACGCGTCAACAATTTCACTTATCTTGGAAGTCTGATCAACCCTAATGGGTTGACATTGACGAAATTTCCGCGCGGATTCGAAAAGCTCGTTTGGCTTTTGTCAATTTACGTCACCTATGGGGAAGGCGAGATATCTGTCTATCAATTAAGGGACGAGTATACTATGCGGCAGTTTGTTCTGTTCTACTGTACGATAGCTAAAGGTGGCGTTAAGAGTAAAGGATACCCGTATTTACTAGTACTTTATCACAAACGTCTTAGAAATATTGCACGCATCTGCTGAAATCAGGTAGGTAATAGTGAGGCTAGACACACAGGGTATTAGGGAATGATGGTAAATCAGTTGATGAGGTTGTGAATCTTCATTGACTGAGATGGTTGGGCCACGTGTTGCGTATGCCTGAACACCGATTACCACGACGTGCAATGCTGACTAGTGTTGGGGATGTTTGGAAGAAAGTCAGGGGCGACCAAACCAAAACGTGGCATCAGTGCTTGAAGCTACTAACGCCTAGTCTTAGCCATGTTGTTAAATGCAGACTACTTGGTTGGGGTCCGCGTGACTATCGTAACCAATGGTTGGAGACTGGGTAACATGGCTCAGAATCTTTCATAGTGGCGTAGGTGTATACACTGTCTTCCCTAAAAGCGTGAGATTAAAATTGCTTTATATCTTCCTTTCTACGAAGTAATTATTTCTTGTATTATATCATTATACACACTCTTTCTTTTACATATTACTACGACTGAAGTGACTACTTCTATGAATTTGATGTTGATCTTGTTGTGCTAATGATGTGTGGCAGCTTGGACGGATGCATATATGTGTCTGGTCCTACGTTTTAGTTGACTGACTGATTATATGTGTACTTAATACCTGGCTATATTCTTCTATTTTATGTATGTTAACTGTATAGCTTACTTTTTGTAATAAATTCAATCAATGTCAATTTTATAAATACCGTATTACTGCATATAATCTAATAGAAGCTATTGTGACACCATTGATAGGATTCAGCGTAAAATGACTCAGTATTCTATCTCCTATAATCTGTCCTGTATATATTTTCTGAAGAAATATAAGTTTTCAAGCATGCTGTTCATATGTGCATGATTACTCTTCAATAGAACAGTTTTATCACTTTTATATTAGAATAGTTATCCACTTGATTTTTATAAAGAAAAAATATTTTTTATTGTTAAAAGGAAATAATAGTTTCTCTTCAATTTCAATATCCCAGTTTATTCCATAGGAATATATACATATGTATGACAGGTTAGTCTGTATGTTCATGTTTGTCGTGACTTGTATTGTCTTTTGTCCTATTAAATGACAAAAAACCTCGATTTTTAGATACATGTGACTGAATTGCAGATAATAGCGTATATATATATATATATCAAATCAGTTAAATAAGCAAACACTTGCTTTTTATTATTAATCACACTTCGATGGTCATCATTTGATAGTAATACGTATTAATAAATAAAGTCATTGTATCGTATTGTTGTGGATGCGGAAGAATAGACCAATAATTATCATGTTAAGTCCAGTGGTGTCCTTGGACTTTAAATGTACATTCCCTATTGGCTATTATTTATTCATTCGTTACATATTGACGTAAATGTTGTTTACTATTTTTATGGTACGCTGTGGTATGCTTGACTAGTATATAAACAAAGTATGTTTGAAATATAGTGATTCATATCTCAGAGGTTGTGACTTGTGTTCTGGACTCAACTGACTGGGCTAGACAGGGAAGCGAGACCAATAGAGACTCTAGGCCGTCCGTACGTGTTTTCCGTGTCACTGTACTGCGATCGATCAATAAATACGCTGCTTATCAAACCCTGCAGTCTCACAACTTAAATTCATAACAATTGGCGACGGGGTGGAGAAAAATTTTGAACCTTGTAATTGGACGAGATTCAGGTTAATTGTTTCGACCAATCAGCATCCAGATTGTCACCAGCGTCCTTGAGCAACATTGGTCATTATTCCTACAGTTAATTTTCATTGCAGGTGCTGAAAAAAAAATGACTACCTTTTCCGATCGATTACAGCTTCTACTTGAGCAACAACAGCAGTGCTTCAAAAATAGCCAGTTAAATTTTTTAGAAAATTTACGCACACTGTTGGTAAATGTTCCATGTTTCGGAGGTGCAACAGAAGTTGGTAAATTCATTTCTCATCTGCAGACTGAGCTGGAAAACAACTGCAGAACATATGAAGCTGTTTATAAAAGCCTCTGTGAATCCCGGACGACCAGTGATGTAAACGAGACAGTTATTCATGGTCCGCCCAGTTGTCCAGAAATGTCAAATTCCGAAACGTTCCCTGTCGTGGGTTCAAATCCCACTGTTCCTGAAACGTGTACAGACAGTGATGTACCCAGCTCACAGGAGGATCTCTTATTAAATGCTCATAAATTAATTGCAGTACCCGCCCACAACGGAACAGGGAACAAATCGTGCGGTACACTGAATCCAGCTGTTTCAAATGGTCCTCATCATTCAACAACAGGAGATTCTGACGAATCTTATTATCTAGATCTTTTTGTACCAGAAAATGTGTTAAATGCATTAAATGATGATCAGAAATCTAATACAATTTTGATAGATGTTGATTATCGCAGTGATCAACTGTTTACAAATGAGATTTTCAACAAATCCCGTGACAATGTTCCAGAAGAATCAAACGTTGGTGACCTCATATCAAGCGACATTGTTCCCCACTATTTAATCACTTTCAGTGACTCCCCTGTTCAATCTGACAATTATGTGTTAAATAAAGTCAAATTAATTCTAACTTGGGAATATGAGGACCCAACATTATTTCGTGGGGGAGGATGAACCCAGAAAATTTCAAAATCCGGATATCAACTCCGGATCTTCAAAAAAAAGGGGAGGTGTTGTGGATGCGGAAGAATAGACCAATAATTATCATGTTAAGTCCAGTGGTGTCCTTGGACTTTAAATGTACATTCCCTATTGGCTATTATTTATTCATTCGTTACATATTGACGTAAATGTTGTTTACTATTTTTATGGTACGCTGTGGTATGCTTGACTAGTATATAAACAAAGTATGTTTGAAATATAGTGATTCATATCTCAGAGGTTGTGACTTGTGTTCTGGACTCAACTGACTGGGCTAGACAGGGAAGCGAGACCAATAGAGACTCTAGGCCGTCCGTACGTGTTTTCCGTGTCACTGTACTGCGATCGATCAATAAATACGCTGCTTATCAAACCCTGCAGTCTCACAACGTAAAGTCATAACACGTATATTAATTTTAGTCTTAATATTAACTTAATATACATTGATTGAATTTAATTTGAAAAGATTATTAATTAAACTCTCTATAAAGTTTAAATAAACGATGTAGAAATCAAATGAATTTTTGAAAGTTGACTAATGCTAAATTCATTGGCTTTTTACATCTCATAGAGAATCAATGCAAAATCTAGAGGTTTAATCAAACATTCAAAATTTTTGACTGTAAATCTGAATCAAATTCAATATTTTCGGTTTTCTTAACCGGCGCTGCCATTCAATTCCTATGTACTTTTTGCATATGATAACCCAACTTGAATATATTCGCAATTTGGTACAGTTGAAATTAATACTACAATTTTAATTATAACCTAATATCATGTTAGGTGTATTGAAAATTAAAAAGTACTTGAAAGATTTCACATCTCCTAAGTGTTCATCTACATTCTGGAGATAACCCTAAGAGTCCACACTCATAATTTTAATTAAATCTCGCCAACATTCAATGAAGTCGATGTTAACCGTTTCTTTTATGCTGACCATCTATTGGTTACGTCTTAAAATAGAACTTTCGGAAATTCACCTTGAAACTAGACGCTGTTATTATTTATTTTTATTATTGGGAGTGGTTGTTATGTAAAGACTTATTTTATGCAGTGATGTTGTGAATGAATAGTCGGGTGGGAAAAACCAATATTATGTTTAATACAAAATTACAGAATATTTTCGTAAAATATATGAACTGTACACTAAACAATTCTTAGGCAAATATTCCATCAATTGTCTTTGACATTCTGTATGATTCTTCCAATTCACGTTTCCTTTCTGTTTCCCTTTCTGTTTTCTTCAAGTCAATTTTCTTAGCCTTCTGCTTTCCACTTCTTACTGGTGCTGCATATGACTTCTGTTTGTCGACTTAAGTAACATACACCACAATATAATTTTCAATGAGCTGTTGAACTATATTAATATATAGATTTTTTTGTAACACTTAAATTTATATCTCCAATGTATATTTCTTTTGTTTTCCTTTCTTGCTAACCTCTTACGAATTCGTGCGCTCAAAGCATTCTCTCGCAAGATTCTTCAACAGTATCAAGAAAAATAATCAAGGTAAATATTTTGATGTCGTCTTGTAATTCACTGGGTCTAACGCGTTTATCACTTGAAATTTCTGATCACAGTAAATTGATTGAATTATGTCACTTTTCTATTTGTCTTTTTTCTCAAAAAAATCTATCAACGAGATGATAATTTGTTAAATGGTTATAAATTTGCTTGCATAATGCAAAGATTTTGTATGCATTTGCTCTAATCACCTTAGTTTTACATATTCATCAACTGATTTATCATCTTACACAGTTCTTTGCACTTAACATCAGCATTTTTGTCGGCAATTATATTCTAACTGAGTACTACTTCGAAGAAACCGGTGACCCAATGCATATGACCTGTGCGTGTTTTGAATTTTCCATAGATATGTTTCACATAGCTAAATTGTAGAGTACTATATTATATTTACATATTTTTTTGATAGATAGTAGAATGGTTTACTCCTTCATAGGTGGCACAATGTTCAAAATTCTCAATTCTAGGCTATTAAATCTGTATTGTAGTTAAGTCAATTATGTATCTATCAGAACAACCGAGATAGACTATATACTTGACTGACTAGCATTTCTGTCCAATTTGTATTGTTTAAAGTATAACAGATACACATAACAATGTGCACATTAATAAGATCTATTATTGAATTTTCT